TCAAGTTTTATTAGCAACGAAAAGAATGATTGGCTATAAGTCCGGTATACCTGCACGATGCACTTCCGCCCATAAAGTCATTTACGATGAAGGTAGCGCCATTATACTGAAAATAATAATATTGTTTTGGAAAAGGTCTGGGCCGAATTTGAATTCATAAAAATTTTTTTTGACGTTTATTGACGTGCGGCATGAATTTCGTCGCACATATATTGTAATTCCAATTACAGCCGATACCTCGGTAGGCTGATATGTAATACAAGAGTAATTTTATCTCCGAACATTAATACTTGTGAGTAAAAAAAAAAGATTCTCACAAGGGTATGATGGAAGCATTTTGTGAGTTTCGTCGTTGGATTTCTACCAAGTAATTTTTTCAATACTTCTATGAGATTTCTCACTTTTTACGCCGTTTATAATCATTTCTTAGGATTTTCTTTTATATTACGTACGCAATTTTTTTTTAAAAAAAAAAAATTTTTTTGGATATTTCTACAGCACCTTTTTTTTTTTTTTTTTTTTTAGAAAAAGAAATGAACTCCTGATGTGTTTCATTTTAAAGTTAGCAAAAATGGTTAGTGTGTAAACCTAATTAGGAACGATCACCGGGTCACAAACCATCGTATTGTGTAGCATTCTATTTATTCACTTCAATGAAGATACTTATTTTAATATGTAATCATAATAGAATAATGATTGTAAATATACCAAAATTGGAAAATACGTAAGAGTATGAGGGGTCGACAAAGAAGAATGTGTCGAGATAAATGTTAACGCAGAACGCACAATCGAAAACGAAAAAAAAAATCTTTCAATAAGTTATAATATTTGGCAGTCGAATTTTTTTTTGCCTGCTGTCGTAGAAATTTCAAGGAGAACCGTAAAATAAAGATGAATGAGTCTATGGCATGAGTCATAAATAAATTACATAAAACTATTGCTAATAACAATTGATGATACAAGGGAAATAAAAAAGAAGAAAAAGAAAGAAAGAAAGAAGAACAAAATTTGCAAAATAAGACAAATATACGTAAACGAATATCTCGTTTATTTTAATACCACCCGTTGTCTCCGTTAAATAACATTTCGGTGAAAGTTGGACGGTCGAATAACCTCGTGTTATTGAATAAAGGAGCTTGACCACGGATGAAATTTGATTGCCCATGGATGAAATTTAATTGATCTTGTTGCGAAGAATTAGAAATAACCTCTGGGGACTGTAAAGTACCTCGAGGATTGGGAGTGGTCAAAAGCAGACGTCGATGGTTTTGCTGTTGATTTCGTTGTTGATCAGGAAGAACGGTCGTTTGGTAATTATCCATTAGACAGATTCAGTGATGTCTTGACACTCAGTAAATAAGTAGATGAGGATATTTTCCGGGAACAGAGTCTTGATGGGATATTTATTTTATAAAATTTTAAATGTACACGTCACATTTAATTTTGGACAAAAAGAATTATTATTATTATTATTATTATTATTATTATTAAAATCACATTTTACATTTGAACGTGTATAAGAGCTTCAAAGGATTTTTTTTTTTTTTTTTTTAAAGAAAAAAAAATCACATTCTACATTGAACGTGCATTAGAACTTCAAAAGGAAACTCATATTCGGAAATTCAAATGAATGAGAATAGATTGTTTATTCCATTATATGGTGTATTCTAATTGAATTGAATTAAATAAAATAAAATGATTTTAGTCCACGCATACGGCGTTCTCAAGTTCTAAAGTTCTGAATATTATGTTAACTAAACAAGACTTGGACCCCGAGTATGCTCAAGAGTTTAGGCCAAGTGACCGGAGATCTTCCGACAAGATGACAATCATTTCGATGTAAAGTACTGCAAGTACCTGTTACATCCCTTCTCTCCAAACGTGAAACTCGATAGCAAAACGCAGACTTTGCTTACTGTATCTACATGAGGCAATAAATCAAAGGTTCAATTAAAAAGAGGAGAGTACTTTACTACAATGTTAGGTTTTTTTATGTATGGTAAAAAATTACCGTTAAAATAACGTGTAATTTCGAAGACGGCATCACACTTGACTCGAGATTAGGTAATGCATCGTATTCGGGAGAAAATTTTCTTATTGTTGATCCCGATTAAAGATCGAATCTGGCGGATCTATACGGAATGGATCGGTAAATAATCTGCGCGAGAGTTATTAATCCGGTCACCTGCCTGATTTGCGTTCTCTTTTGAGTGTTTGCATAGACATTTTTCATGCAAAATTATGTAATTAATTATATAAAACTAAAACTTTAATTTAATTTACCTTATTGATGGGGGAAAAATATACATTTGTGAATCGAAGAAAGTAACCAATAGAATGAATATACGTAATGTTAGGTTAATACGGCACCTCAATAAAAGTAATGAAACGTTTGATTTCACGCACAATCAGTCATTATTTATACGAAAATCTGATGGAAGTATGATTCGCCAGTTAAAACAGTTGTGCGTAAGAGAACAATTTATCAATAGATAGATTGATTATTTATGAGGTTTACGGTATATGAAAGGTCTGTTGATTATTATTGAAATTGAATTTTGAAACAGTAAGGTTAATTTAAGTAAGGCGAATACTGTACGTGTGATTTGCCATTCGATTAAAGTATACGGGGCGAACGAAAGCTAGATGAAAGAATAATCTCAAGGCGTACGCCGATAAACTCGGACAAAGTATGCTTATGAGTTGGGTTGACAAAAGTAAATTTGAATAGATTCGATCGGTTCCGGTCTTGAATTTTTTAATTGGCTTTTCTTTAAAGTCAGTCATTTATTGAGGCTAAGATAGAATGTAGAAAGGACAAATAGTGTAACATAATATCTATTCCTCACTGCTACCGTGCCTATGAAAGTTGGCCTTACGAATAGAGAACCGAAAAGTTGGGACAATACGTATGTAGAGAATTACGAAATATGTACGCACGTCCGTAGACTTTTGCATTACGCAATGATATGCATGCATTTCGACGATCACCCAATCATTAATACACCAACGGGAGAGATTCTTATGAACGCAAAATAAGGAAAGGTCCATTATTAAAAATTTATTAACATACAAAAAATACCAATTCTTTCATTTTTAAAACCAAACTTCTTTCAGATCGCCATTGTTTGGGTTCGAGGTTGTCTAGACTTGATACGTATTCAAATGTGATGATAAGTATAAGGCCTCATTATTATTTTATCCCTGTTGATCGTTCTTATTTTTAGTTTAACCGGAGGATCCCTCCATGAATAATCCACCTGCCTCTCAATTTGTACATCTACAGAATATTTTATTTCGTCGCCATTAGTTACAGTATATCAATATTCCTTTTCTTAATAATACCTTTTCATTGTAGCTTTTTGTTGTTGATTTTCCAACTTATTGAGCGCTCTGTTTACTTTTCATCTTCTTGCCAATGGTGCCTTAGTAAATGAAAAGAACGAGAGAATAATTTTGCACCAATATCATAAGCAAAACGTTTCTTCTTAAAAAATTTCAGAGGGTTCATCTTGCAAAGTTCAAATGAACAACTTCACGACGCGAATTTACCACAAACACTAATTAATTCGCTTTACTTACTAAAAAAATTCTGTGCGTGTGACACAAACTGTTTGTGTACGCTTATTGAAGACGATGAACAAAATCAAAGTATAAAATCAAAATTTTTAATTATAATATTATGATAGAAACAGTAAATTCTATGATGCCCATTATAATTTTGCTATCTCCTTTTGCTCCAAGCGCTAAAAATTAACCAACATTGCAATGGTATATGGGTGCGTGTGAAAAAATATCTGTTCTCTTGATAGACCGAGTGGTTTTTTACGGTCAAGACACATGTATTGACGAATGTATAATTGGTTGGGTATTATTTGAAAATGACTCTGACGACCTTATCACAGTATTTTATTTACAGTATACCGTTGTAGCGGGCTAATAACGAATGGGGCTCGTGACACATTGGATTATTTAGCGCGTACGAGCGATTTTAATCGTATTAGGAATTACTTCTCTTTTCATAATTCTCGTAAGCTCGATAACGTCATACTGTATGTACCGTAAATACCTGAGAATAATAGCATTTGGTTTTTCTCTAAATTTTTGAAATTGTAAATATTATCATGACCAATTAATAAAATAAATTCGTAAAAGCACCTTTGTCTAGTTAAAGTTTATTTTTATCTTGGTATATATATATATATACAGTATATTACAGTATATACAGTATATATATATATATATATATTTTAAACAAATTGATTCGTATGAAAATCTTTACGCATACGGATCGATTAATTAATTTATGCAACTCTTTTTATTAGCCCCTACTAAAATCGGAAAAGCGCGCGGAACTTTTTTTTATCTCAGAGAACTGTTTTATTTTAACGGCCATTGGATGGTTGACTTTTTGGCAAATAAGGACAACAACTATATGAGCTCATCATTATGCGTCAATAATTATACTGTATATACGATTGTACATTCTTTATTATTAGATGGAAAGGATGGCTATCAAAAATAAATAAATAATTAATTACAAGATGTAAATAAATACAGTAACTATTCCTTAATGATGAATGTCATTAGGTGGGAAGCGAATGGTAGAGCTACGTGAACGTTGCCAAGATTAAAATTTAACCCGTAACTCAACTCAGTCCCGTCCCACTGACTCTAACCCTTAACCTTAACCCGCCAACCGATTTCTCAAAAAGATTCGCGGCATGTATCCGTAATTTGATTTACGATGTATCTCTTGTACGTATAGTGAGTGAGTGGGTGGTCCTTAACTTGAGAATTCTTTATAATTACCACACTCACCCAGAAATCATTTCCAAATGGCTACAAAATAATCGTGCAGAAAAAAAATCCTTATAAAATTTAGGCTGACCTTTCTTATATACTGTACGTGCGTATAAGGGAGGTAAAAAGTGGGCAACATATAGGTTATCGAAGAAAGTCTAATATAATAATAACGTAATACATTATTTTGAGGCATATCAATCCCATCCATTGTCTCCATCAAATAAGGTCACCGAAAAACATGGTGCTTCTAGTTTTCTTGCAGTGCCGGATAGAAATTCGTGCCCTTGAACGGGATTGAATTGATTCATGTCTTGTTGGGAGGTTAAAGTGGGTGGAACTTGTAAATTAGGCGGAACATGTAAATGACCATGAGGAGGCGGTGGAGCGGTCATTTGTGGTATTTGTTGCGGGTTAACTTGTTGATTGGCCATTTTATGAAATTTGAACTTTTGGATCGGTGAATAAATACACGGCAATAGCAAATCCATGCTTTTTATACTTTATAGAATTCTTGGAATTATTGAAGCTGTATGCTTAAATCAAATAATAAAATTGCTAATTGATATCAATTAAAAGCTTTATTGAATAACGAAGTGTTGCGCGTGATCACGACTTATGGCAAATAAACAATTCTGCACCAGTTTCAATTTGAAACAGAAAGAACCCTTGGACTCATCGCATTCGTTTATTTATTTGTTTTTGTTTTATTCTATTTTTTATTTATTTATTTTTATTTTATTTTTATTTTTATTTTTATTTTTTTTATTTTTATTTTTTTTTTTGTGAACGCATACGGTCCAGTAGTTTTATAGCGGTCTTTGAGTAACTCAGTTACGAGCGATTAGATTTTAGTCACCATAAAGCATCGCGCGCGATCGCAACTTATTGGTAAATAATTATGCACCTTGCGATTATAATCTTTAGATTTGCCGTTTTTTTCTTTTCTTTTCTTTTCTTTTTTTTTTTTGAAATCAACGGTACGGCAGTTTTACGGCGTTCCTTAAGTAATTAGGCGATTGAATTTTTCACGACAAATAGCTCACCCTTTAGTTAAATAATAACGCAGAAAAATTGAATTAACCACGGTTCCAAACTAATGACGAATAGAATTGCGGTATAGTCGAATATTATTGGTAGATAAGATCATCCTTTATTCAGGCACATGTGATAATGTTTGTTTCATTGAATGGCACATTCAAGGCCGAGAAGTAAATTACCGCAAAAATATTTGTTACAAAAATATCCAATTTCAATTATATTTAGAATCTTTAAATAAGTAAACTGATGGATATTTTTTTTTCCATTTAAGTATATTTTAATTATCGATTTTATTTATAAATTATCTAAAAAAAAAAAAAAAACCTTTGTGTATTGGTCTATTAATATGTTAATAAAAATCTTTTTTAAGGCACTTGACTCTACGTGTTTGACCTTAACATTTCGATATTTAAACTTCAAAATGTATAAACTTGCTTAATTATCCACAGTATCGACATGAAACATTTTCACCAATTGGTACTTTATGTCGGATTGTTTTCTTTTTTTTTTTTTTTTTTTTTTTTTTTTTTTTTTTTGGTCTGCCTTTTTTTTTTTTTTTTTGTACTCTGTCAAAATATTTGAATAACAATAATAAATAAATAAACTGATTAATTAAAAAAAATTTTTTTTTGAATTGTTGATTATTATCAAGCCATATAATTTCACTTTATTACTGTTCTATTTAGTGATTAATCAAATCTTTCAAGATATTAAATTTTCAATTATTTGTAGAAGGAAATATATTAATATTAAAAAAGGGAGGGAAATTATTTTTAGTATATCTTTAGTTAATTGATTTTTTAATAATATTTACAATATATTATTTGCTCTTATTTATATTAGAAATGAGCACTATTTCTTTAAAGTAAATCAACAAAGAAACTCTTTTCAATAACCTCTTGAACTTCTTATATAAAAAATGTTTTACTAAAATTTTTTTGACTTTTTAATTAAATAAATCTAATTACCATTTTTAAAATAATTAAAAAAATTCTTTTAAGAATTAATGGTACTTCTTTTTTTTTTAATCAAAAACTTGACTTTTAATAGTCAAAAAAAAGTCAAGTAAGATCTTTAATATCCATAGTAAAAAAGTTTTCCAAAGAAAGAAGAATTGA